ATTAGAGATATGTTATAATTACATGTAGATGAGGCTTTGAAAAAAAAAAAAAACAAAATTCGGTTGTGTGAAATTACATTTCTGCCCCATATTTCTTATTCATGTTCTGTTTTAATTAGAGGGTTAAACTGGTAATTTCATAGAATTTTGGTTGACAATGAGTGTTATATTAATTAGTAGAGATAAAATAAGAATTTTGGAGGCTGCAACGTACGATTCCATATCAAGGTACAGTCCAAGGAGAATACACCATGGGCCATAGCTTTCTACGCTCCAGCTGATGACTACGAGGGGTGTATTCAATTGGGATTTGGAGGGATTTTAATTCTTTTAATGAATATAGGGGTATTCAATCAGGATCTTAAGTGGTTCTCTAAAATTCAAGGTGTATTCAATTAGAATTTTAAAATAGTTTATTAAAATCCTTAAAAATCCGGGTGTATTCAATTAGGATTTTTAAAAAGTTTATAACATTCCAGGTGTATTCAATTAGAAGTTGATTTTAAAGAATTTGAGAGAGTTGAGGAGTTAAAGGGAATTGGAGAGATTTCGTAGTATATTTTAAGCATATACAAATCTTACCTCTCCTCATGAAATTTTGAGGGAATTGAATCAAAATTATCCATGAATTTATAAATCCATTAAAGTCTCTCAAATTCTCAATTGAATACACCCCCCTACATTTACACCTCGACGAGATAAAAAGGGAAAACAAAAATGAATATTCAAATGCAGAGACAAAATATTCACATTAATCATATAAATTTGCACCCAAAAAATAAAATAATTAATCACATTATGTTGTAAGCATAATTTACTGAACGATTATGAGGACCATAGAGAGAGAGAGAAAGGTGCGGCAATAGTAGAGAGAAGATAGAGAGATGTGTAATTGTGAGATATGTTCTATTCTACCCCATTGTGACTTTATTTATAGTAGTAAGATAGGTAAAATCCTTACCCTTTTAGGATTACAACTCTTAATAGGTAATCAACTCCTAATAGGAATATAAGAGATATTCCTAGTATATGATTTACACAATCACGTTTCTAATATAATAAGACTGCAACACATTAGTCATTGATAGGGTGTGCTTTAATTGTTACATTATTCCACTGCTTGGAGTTTATTTGATGGAACTCTAGCTAATGTGTGGACTGTGGAAACAAGACTATCAAAATTTTGGAGGTTTTGTAAGAGGGAGTACCAAAAGTGTTGGTGTCTTAATGTTAGTGCACCAATTGGATCATGGCCATTCCACTCTTAGTTCGCACCTCCGAGCAACTTTGAAGTTTGTGTACAAATGAAAAAAAGCAAAAACAAAACTGATTACATGAATTGGTTCCACAATTTGTACAACAGTTAAACCAAGGTAGATACCTCGAGAGTTGACTCTTGTAGAATTGTTTAAGAACCAAACTTAGGTGACGGCTTATTCTCGACTCTTCAGAACCCTCAAAATTTATGCATACTAAAAAGAAAAGAGGCAAAATCATGATCGCACAAACTGGCTTTACAACTGATTCATTAATTAAATCAAGACAAATGTCTTGAGAGCTTGCCCTTAGAGTTTATTGGGTACCAAACTTAGGTAGCTCCCTACTTCGTATCCTCAATCAGCCTCAAACTAGCTTTACAACTTGTTCAACAACTAATTCAATACAAATGCGTGGGATCTGACCCTTCTATAGTTAATTGAAGACCAAACTTTCACCAAATTCTCTCTCTTCCCTTCCCCTATTTCCGATGAACAATACCAATGGGTATCCACTTCTTATCGACCTCCCAGCTAATTTCTATCCGGACAAGTGTCGCCGTCATGGATGAACAAAGCAGACAATGGGTGGCAGCTAATAGCAACCACCATGGTGGGCATGCAAAGTGTGTCTGGCCTTGTGAATCGTGATTCTCTACGGGAGCATGGTGAAGAAGAAATGGGCCGTAAACTCAGCTTTCATGGCCCTATATGCTTTTGCCGCTGTCCTAATCTGTTGGATCATGTGGGCCCACACTCAAGATTTTGCTCAATTTTGTGAAAACCCGGTTTTGCCCCAACGTTTTCTCCTGACGCAATATGTGGGGTATCTTCCGAAGCCTGACTATGTGTACTACCAATTTGTATTTGCCGCCATTACTGTGATTTTGCTCGGTGGGTCCCTCCGTGGGAGGATGAACTTCTATGCTTGGATGCTGTTTGTTGTGCCAATGTGGCTCACCTTGTCTTACACTGTGGGCGCATTTAGCATTTGGGGGAACAGGTTTCATGAGAAGTACATCATCTATTATGCTGGTGGGTTTGTGATTCATCTTTCTTCTGGTGTGGCTGGTTTCACTGCTGCCTATTGGGTAATTGATCTAGACACCCAACTCTATACTTATTATGTCTTGTTATATTATCAAATTGTCAATACTCAGCTTGTTGAGAAATACGTTATTGATTATTCATCGTATTGTGTCAAGTAATATAACATCATTCTATGTTTAATACTAGTCTTTTTTTTTAATAACGTGCACAAACAGAATCACTTACAAAAATCTTATCAAAAGTAGAACCGAAAAACACTAAACAAATAGTAAGTAGTATATAAACCGTAGTTTAGTGCATCTATATAATTTGGTTGGTGCTTCTTCGTTCTATTTTTTTATTAAATATATATAACCAATTATAGTTGTGCATACTTTGCTTTTATCTTTCGTATATTTTTAGTGTTAGATTATTGTCGCGTGATGGAGTGATTTGGTGATGATCATACAGGTAGGACCAAGGCAAGCACATGACAGGCAACATTTTCCACCAAACAACATAATTCGCATGTTGGGAGGTGCAGGGTTTTTGTGGCTTGGATGGACAGGGTTCAATGGAGGATCTCCATTTGACCATTATCAACACCCACATCTGCACCGCCGCCAGCCTTCTGGTGTGGGTTTCCCTTGACATGTTGGTGTACCGGAAAAGCTCTGTCATCGGTGCGGTCCAGGGGATGATCACCGGCCTCGTCTGCATCACACCAACCAATGAAAACATCATCTTACAGGAATGCATGACATGTTATGTTATTATACTATCAATTAGTCGTATATTCTGTTTTGAAGTGTAACGTAAGATGCCTTAATATAACATGTCATATATCAAATGATGCTTATCAATATATGTGAACTAGGTTTTGATTAACATCAATTGATATAACTAGGGCTGCAAAATGGATTGAAAATTATAATTCAAATCGAAAATTTTCGTTCCCAGATTTGAAAATTTTCCGATTCTGAAAATTTTTGAAAATTTTGGATGGCAATTGGAATGTACCTATCCAAACCGAAATTCCTAAATTCCAATGCTATGAAAAAAAAAAAAAAACAAAAAAACAAAAAAACAAAAAACCATGGATAATCTTATTTTATCAAGTTTATTGTTGTATTTAGATATGTTTTATTTCGTATTTTGTGTATTTAATAATACTATTATACTTTATAAATGGACAATATTATATCTTGTCTAATATGATTTTATGTCAAACACACATGTAACGGTCTACAAATATCGCAAAAATTTAGAAATAGAATTGAATGGCGGATATATAAAAGTTTGAAAATTTTCAAAGTCTTGCAAAATGTAGGAGGTCCGAATTATGTTTTGAACATTACGAGATAAAACCAATTCCGAAATTTCTGATAAATTTTGATAATCCAAAATTGCGAAATTGGAACTAATATTGATTCCGAAATTTTTGGATTGGCATTGGGAATGCTTGTTTCCAATCCGACCGAAATCACTCCTAGATATAACAAATGCAAATGCTCTCATATAACAAAATACATGACATGTTAAATTATCAGACTGTCAATCTTCGCTCATTAATCAAGTGGATTGTTGTTTTAAAGTCCATCATCGAACAATCTAACAACATAACGTGTCACTTATCTAACAATTAAACATAATGTAATCATTGCTTTCATAAAACAAGAACCTGATGGTTAGGAATGTTTATTAACTTGGCTTTGATTTATTTAAGAAAGTAAAAACAAGCAATTTTGCAGCATTCTACCAATAATATGAACATGATCGAGCAGGGATTGTGGAGCCATGGGCAGCACTAATAATGGGAGCAATGTCTGGCTCAATACCTTGGTATACCATGATGATGTTGCACAGAAGATCGGCCGTCTTCCAAAGCGTCGACGACACGTTGGGGGTCTTCCATACGCACTCAGTAGCCGGCCTCTTGGGGGGACTCCTCTCGGGCTTCTTTGCCCGACCCAAACTTTTCCGAATGATGTACCCCCACTATACCTACGGTCCTGGCTTAATGCACTGCATCCTTGAAGGGAAAACAAAAGTTGGCCTCCAACAAATGGGGTACCAGATCGGCGGAGCACTTTTCATCATCTGGTGGAACGCCGTTGTCACGAACTTGATTTGTATTTTGATCAGCCGCATAGTTGATCTTCGAATGAAGGAAGAGGACCTCAACATTGGTGATGAATCATGCTGCGCATGGAGAAGAAGCGTATGCCCTGTGGGGAGACGGTGAGAAGACGTCTACACAGATTCGATGGCAGAATCCACGGATTCCTTCCATTTGCAGATGCGAGAAGCATAGTTTTGTAGCGTAAATGTAGTAGGTTTTGCAGTACTTTCCCCCGGTTTTTGTAGTTCAAAGAATGCATGCAGCCACTTTCGTTGCTGGTGCTAGTTCAATCCATCATTTTGTTCTCGTCTGTAAAGCGTACATGTTCATACCGGTGAAGAATGTTGCTACTGGAGTACAAGTTGTGACATGTAATTTACGTTCGTGTCTCATGTCTTATGTAATTTGGTGAAGAAAAAAATACGAACATACTGCAATAATCCAATTTTATCACGTTATGATTCGAATTACAGGTAACTACTGTTGGAACACAATTGAAATGCTATCGCTGTCAAGGATTCATACACGCAAACTTTAGAAGAACGTAAATGTAGTAGAAGAATCACTGCACAAATGTAATAAAACATCCAATGTCTTTTGAAACAAGATTTTTTTTTCAATTCGATTATGGGCAAACACAATATGATCATTCTTTTCATACAACATTTTGGTAAGATTTACAAACTCTGGAATTCTGGATATCTCCAAGGAAAACCTACCGTCTTTAGGTTTGGAAGATCCAACTAAATACACGATTTATATTTACAAATTTGGGGAAAATATACTAGGGTAGCTGTACATTCAATAATTTGGAAGTTCCCTCGTCATTGAGTAACTCGTAAAGGTGTTGCTTGCACCAGAATCTTCGCGATGAAAAGCTATGCCAAAAGCCTCAAAGGCATATTTCTAAGAAACCATTAGAAGAGGACAACCTTCTATGGTGATTAAGGCCCTTGAATTGACTTGCGAAGCTTGAATAGTTCGTCTTTCCACATAGCTGCAGGAACCAGTCGTTAATTTGCAAATGATCCGATATATAAAAACATGAATCAGGCAATCAGAAGCAAATCGATGAATAAAAGGGAAAATGTAACGTGACTTAGTAATTGTATATGTTACAAAAGCAGTGAAAAGTCCTGATAAAATACCTGCATCTTTATATCTTTCCTCTTTGATAGCTAAATTGATATTCTTAACCAAACCAAGTTCTTGAATTAAAGAATCTGGGCCCTCTATAGCACTGAAAAGAATACAACATATGATCGTACACACAAAAAACTGACGAAACAAAATTGAGACCCCTAAAATACAACTCTGTACCTGTCAAGAGATACGTCATAACAAGACTTTGTATCGCGCACTCTGCCCATTCCATAACTGATCCTCACTGCATCTGTTAAGACAATCTGTTTGTTTATATATATGGGTGCCTGCACGTGGCAAGTGTCACTAAAACTTAACAACAATTTCAACGAAATGGTCATGTGTAAACTGAAGGTTTCTTGCTTGGACATGAAGCAGCAGGAATATTTATGTACATAAAGTCTATGAGTATTTGTGTTGAGGAAGGCAAGAGATGTAGATACCTTGCATCTATGTGCGAAATTTATGGCATCTGACGGGCGTACATCCACACTAAGAAAGCCATTTTCCCCTGGCTGCAGATAACAGGAACCTCAATGTCATAAGGTTGCTTCATTTTCTTTAAAAGATTAGGACATAACTCATACGGTTTTTAACTTTTACCACCTTGCTAAAGTACAATCTGGCAAAGTAAGTATTCCGCACTCTTTCCGTGATTCTCACCATATTCACCTGGAATTGAAGTGGTGACAAAAATAAGACAATCACCTGAATGGTATCTTGTACTTGGAAAACTAATATTGTATAATCAAAGTGCAATGCTACCATCAGGGATCTAAAGACTATGAATGTCTTCTTAAGTCGGACAAACTATATACTTGCGATCCCTTCTCAACACTCACTTTTTTCTACAATCTAGTTATTGGTATCGTTAGATTTCTTATGAACATGCAATAAACATAGAGTGAGACTAGTAAGTAGCTAAAGCAGGAAAAGGACAAACTACAAAAGCCTTCTCTTCAACCTTTCAGAAAGTAAACTTAATACACACAAAAAATTAGCTCCATACTTGATAGCCGAGTTTGTCAACAAGGTTTCTTAAGAACTGGAAATGATCTGGGGAGTCCTGTAGCAAGACCATTTACGGGATCAATATACATTACATAAGAAAGAACCAACTTAATTAACAGAGCTCAAACAGTTACCCCATTCTCATCTCCCCACTGGGCATCTATGAGATTTTCTATTGCAAATTCGCCTGAAAACAAAAATCAGATCACGACATTAATAACCGAGGCCATACACTCCAAATCACATTCACGTTCATTCATATGACACACATAACTGCATATACCTACAACAATTGGCAGCAAAAAGTCTCCATCACAAGAAATCTTAAGAAAAATCGTGGGAGTTTGGAAACGCTGGACAAAGTTTCGGCCTAATGTATCAAGAATGTTTTGTTGTCGGCTGGCGTGGACCGAAAAGGGACGCAATTTACCAGATAACTGCCATTTCGATTCTTCTTGAAACCCTCGCCTCTGCATACGGTAGTGCGATATAGTTTCTGCACTAATTAAACAGAAATAAACAACTTCAAGGACCTAATCACACTCAATTAGCAACAAATTACTCCACTTTAGGTCAAAATTGCAGAATTTAGGCAACAAAGACCATCTTTTGAACGAAATAGTAAGAAACAGAATCAAAATCAATTCAATAATCACAAATACATAGAAACGTACGTATTAGTATGTGTATACAAACATGTATGCGATCACAAAGAGAGAGAGAGAGAGAGATGGGACCTGAGAGGAGGAGGGAAGCTTGGATGTGGTCGAAATCGTGATGATCGTCGGCATTGCTGGATCTAGAGCGAGAGGAAGAGCTGTTGCAGGTAATGCGGAGAGATTTGAGCGCACGACACCGTTTTGATGGTCTGATGAACCCTAATCGAACCGTGAAGACCAAGTGGCGCGAAGAGGAAGAAGAAGACGAAGTTTTTGGGTCCGGACGGATGGCAGCTGAGCGATCCGTCACGTGGAATTGAGCTCCGGCTCCGAGCATTGCACCAAACCAAAATATCCACGTCCGAGAGAGAGAGTTGATCTTAACTTCGGCTGGCTGCCTTCTTAACTCTTTTTTAATCAATGTGATTAACGAGTTTAATTTTCTATAATTTTGTTCTAATCCTCCCTCTCAGAGGCATGTCTCCCCAATTAAAAAAAAAAGAAGTAATGCTAGAAGACCATCAATTTAAATTATATTTGTAAATCGTATGACGTGATTGTTGATGATTTGATTATTAGAATTGATGAACGTGCATTTTTTTTTATTAGTGACATATCATATGATTTGCAAATGTGGTCTAAAAATTGGTCCACTAACATTACTCATGAAAAAACTCAAACTCGATCAGTTTCTATGGACCAGGTGCAACTCTATCTATTTCGGTTGGGCGATTGTGACTCGGTGCTTGCACAAATAAATGTGCGTAACAATAACAAAACACAGCATGCTGACATATCATAACGAGTTTAATAAAAATTATTTAGCATAGCAATGACATATCAACATAGCATAGCATAATGACACATGATTTATCATTTTTTTCTTCTAACAATACGATATTTTAAATTACTATAATCTATATAATCTATAAAAGAACGAATTTTGAATTCGCGTGCACACTTCGCCCAAACCCACATAAAACACGTGATTTTACTCGTTAAATGAGTCGTTCTCAAGACTTGATTGATCTAGCACACTTTTGTTTCATGTAAACATCATGAATGTACGTGTCCTGCTCCTTTCAATTGCGTTGAGCACGTGCCGAGCTCGTGCAGACTCGAGCTTCTTTTTTGCCTAACACGAACAGTCCAAATATGTAACGAGATATTCTGCAATTCAATTTCAGTGACTTCACAAGTACAAAACATTACAAAGTTGGTGCATAGCTAATGATTTTGAGCTTCAAATGTTCTCCTTTCGATAGTCCAGTTGGCGTTTTCGCAGTTGTAACAGCATCGGCTCGTGAGTTGGAAAGATGGATCGTCGGATGATAGCAGGACATGCTGAATCTTTGATGTAAAGTTATGGCAGATCAAACCCTGGTTTGCCTTCAGATCATTTGGCCAGCTGACACACTGATGAGGCGGATATGCGATTAGAATATCCAACCATTAACGCGACTTTGGAAGAAGCTTCAACAACTTAATTAGCTCGTAAGTCCTCATGTCTTGACCAGAGTAAAGGCAAAGATCAAGAGGGGATAAACCATCCTGCAAGAAAGTATAGATGACTTGCAATCATTCATCATAACATTCGCAAATGTTACAGTCCACATCAAGGTGATGAGATGCATATACTGGAAAATCATTAAGTTGCTTAAACTTGAACAGCATTATATAAGAGGAGAAATTATGGAGGACAGTTCAAGCATGTGCAGAATCCAGAACTCCTATGTTTACCTTGTTCTTCAATGTCTTATTCGCTCCCTTAATCAGCAGAAGCCTCACAACATCTGTTCTTCTGCCTTGAACAGCTAGGTGTAACGGCGTCCAACCATCCTATATAGTGAAAGTAACTTTTTTTAATTATACTTCTCTGGATTATTATAGATTGAAGTTGCATAATAAAGTGCTAGGGGAAATTAAAATCCATACGTTGTCCTGAAGGTTTATATCAACATTATATAAAAGAAGAATTTTGATTGCTTGACTGGAAGCTGTTCGAACAGCATAATGCATCAATGTGCCGCCATCCTGGTTTTTACCATAAACATTTGATTAGGACAATAATCTTCACACCAATTCTAAACTGGATACAGTGATACACTACGTGAATTTGTACTCACTTTATCACGAACAAATGGATTAGCTGATTCTCTCAAAAGATAGTTCGTGATGGCCTGGTTTTTACCAAGAATTGCTTTGTGAAGAGCACTCCAACCGTGCTGGAGACGACATGAACCAAATCTTAAATCAGGTATTGAAAAGCCAAGAACAACATTCTGCATGCAACGTTCTAAGGTAAAAGGCGGCCATTTACGTACCTTATCCACGACATTGATATCAGCATTATGTTTCAATAAAGCATCCATAAGGTAAAATTCTCCAGATGCAGCAAGAGTGTGCAGGGGTAGCCATTTGCTCTGAAAGAGTTTACAAATACTTTATAAACAACTTAACAACTTCAAGCTCATCAGGTTAGAAGTACAAAAACGTGATTATGTTTTATCCTAAACATGTACAAATGATCATAAGAAGGGGGACACTTACAGAGGTAGCAGCAGCTATATCAGGTTTTCGCTTATTAAGGAGAGCTTTTTCCTCTTTCGAAAATAACTTTCGGGGTCCTATTCATCCAAGCAACAAACAATGCCTCACATACCTTATGAATTAAACAAAACCCAAAAAAACCAATTCAAGTTCAACCTAAGAAAAGTTATCCATATTGAAAATTTGGTTAAGAAATAGAAGTTTGGATACTTGATTATCTAAAGTTTACTAATTTTCCAACAAAATTCAGAGCTCACATCTGCAATCTAATATCCAAAAAATCGCAGTCACATCCGCAAAATTCAGTATAAACAAGCAATTACCTTCAGATTTCTTAGCACCAGGCTCATAATTCCCACTGTTAAAGTAATCTGCAACATCCTCCAATCCCTTCCCATAAACCGCCCACCTCGGATTCTTCGGCGCCACTCTCTCACTCAATTTGCTAGCATCCCCTTCATTCTCCTTCAACTCCTCCGTCGGAGCTAAACCAGAAGCATCATCCAAAACAAGTGGCTTCAATTGGTTTAATTTCGCCTCCCTATACGCCAAGTACTCCTCCAAATTCAAATCCCTAATCGGCTCCAGCCCCTTCTTCTGCTTCTCCACCCTCGTCCCGAACTGCAACTCCTGCGCAATCTTCCGCCGCTCTTTCTTCGTTATGTTAATCTCCGCCTGCACCTCCCGCCACTGGTCCGGTACCAAATTCTCCGACCCGATTTCGGAACCATCTCTTCTGGGTTTCGCTTTCTCGGGTCTGATACGGTCGGTTTTGGTGTCGTTTTGGAGGTAGGGGTCGTCGAACACGCCTTCTTCGAACACGACGCAGTCGCCTATTACATGGTCCTCGTCAAAATGGTCGGTTTGGGCGGAGTAGGAGGAGGTGAAAGAGGGAAAGAGGCCATGGAGCTTTCGCGGGAACTTTAGGGTAGCAGGCGCCGATAGCTTGCGGGGTGTGGTGGGGAGAAAGAGGGGTTTGGCGAGGATGAAGGTGGATTGGGGGTTTAGAGAGAGTGGCATGGTCTTTGCACTCGCCATGCTTTCCCCAAAAATCAAAGATTTAAAATACCTTAACTGGTTTAGAATTGCTCTGCTTAAAAAACTGTACCGTGCTGCGAGAATAAACTTATTTTTATTGTTTCACATTTTTAGTTTTTTTTTTCACCTCAAACTAGGAAAATGAGCTGTTTTTAAGTGTTTACCAAACATCTTTTTGAGCTTAGCCTTTTTTTATACCAATTTTTCATAAAAACACCTCAATACCAAACCAGTACTTAAGATTGTACAAGATCCTGCTTAGCAGGGTTAAAACAGGAAGCACAGCGTGCTTATCAACAGTGTTTCAAAGTGTTTTATGTTTTAGTATAGATTATATTATATTTACTGAATTTGAACCGAAATTGAAGTAGAATGGAACTAAAGTATCACTATGTTTATGTTTTTTTACTTGGGTAATGAGAAATGAACGTAGAAAGAAATGTGGGAGGAAATACGAGTATTACTAAAACAATAAAAATCCAAGTTCTACTATTGAAGTTATATGTTTTTTACTTCTATTATTCAACATCATCCTTAGTTATATGTAATTATTTGTTTTATATAGGCATTTACATCATTTCACAACATGTTCATATTTTAAGAAATGCTAAGAAGACTTTCCATGAATTTTTCGCCACCTCATCTTTTTGGAACAATAAAATGAATGATAGATAGTCATTGAAAGTTCTATTTTTGAAAATCTTCTTAGCATTTTTCTCGTATTTTTCTCTCTACATTTTTTTTGCAACTTCATGAACTGTTTAATTAAGGATTTTTGCAAGTCATCAATCAAGTTTCAAGTTTTCACTCAAGTTTTCTTGCAACTGTGTAAGTGTTTTTACGACTTTATTGTTCAAGTGTTCTTGCAAGTAATTTAAGTGTTATTGCACCTATTTAAGGTTTAGTTAAGAAAAGTTGAGGCTTTCTTAGATATTAACATTTAAGATTTTATAGTGATGCATATGTGGTACTCCATTTTTGGTCCATTGGAGGGAATAATGATCCTCTTTGTGAGGATCCTGAAAATTCTCAAATCGTATCCATTCATCTACATCGTGCAGTCAAAAATTATTTTAAATATTTTTATTTTAAATTAAATATAAATAGTACATGACGAAAAATGACCACATGATATACAATGAACGGACACAATTTGAAAAATAACTGCACGATATACGATGAACGGACATAATTTGAGAATGCCAATGATCCTTATAAAGATGATCTGGAAATGACTCCTGGCATTGAAGGATGATTCCCCATATATAATATAATGTGTGATATAGTTTGAATAGATAAAGATTAGGAGAAAGTTTCAATTTTTGGTGAAGATTTTAACCCTATTTTTTCCGAGCATGATATATGGGCAAAGGCGATCAGCCAACTCAAGCTGATTATGCCAATTTATACTTCATGCCTTAGATAAGACTTGTTCCCTCAATTATAAAAAAGCAGATGCCAAAAGCAGACCAAAATGGACGAAAAGGAAGCCACATACATATTTAAACCCCATATCCAAGGTCTAAAACCAGCAATATCCTACAATTAGTTAAAAAAAGCACGAGAAAACGAAACAAGAGGAACAGCAGACTTCGAGACGCAGATCGATACACTCCTACATCGTGTTTCCAGATTTGTCACTTTTGACAGACGGGAGATACATCACATATAGACTCATCTAGAGCCACGAGCATACTTTCTTTCCGGGCTTCCATAGGGAGAATAAGACCTCTCTCTTCTTGATCTTCCGCCATAAGGTGAGCCGCCCCTTGGAGAATAATCACGGCCACCTCTATAGGGTGAGCGCCTTGGAGACCTCCTATATCCATAGTCATCACGACCTGAGCCCCCGCGGTACCTACCACGATCACTATCACGTTCACGATCTCGATCACGATCACCTCGGTAGCCTGTGACCAAGGCAGAGATAAAATATGAGAGAGAGGCACACAAACCACAGAAAGGCAATAGATCATTTATTATGAAAAGCATATCAAACATACCATAGTCTCTAGTATTTTTCAACCCAAGATAATGCCCAGGTGTTGGCGTTCTTGGTCGCTTCCTCCGGGACTGAAAATAATCATAAACCCTCAATTACTGAAACTTCTGGCACACAATCTCAAAATGAATAAAAAAAAATATCATAAACAAAGTTGTAAAAAACAACAGAAACAGAAATCTCCAAGCGACGTCATTTTTAATAAACTCGGATTCCAGAGTACATATTTTAACAACTTAGAAGAATCTAGATAAAGTGGTAAATCTGGACACAGAAACAAGCACAAGATATCCGGGCACCTACGTGATACGATTAATGTCCATAAAATGAATGCCAGTTATGAAATACCATAAAAGCCTGATTAGAAAGTTGTTCGTAATGTCCGTGGATTAGTTGAGGGTTGAAAGTTGAAAGTGAATGCTGAAGTTGTATAGTTGTTGGAATATAGTTGCTATGTTTAGTTGATCAGGCGCATTTGAAATGCTGTTTAAGCTTGCCATTGATCAAGCTGTTTCTAAAGTTGACATGGATAAACTCATCATCTGTGATTGCTGCCAACATAGCTGACGCAATGACTTCTGAATATAACCAGAAAACTTCCAAGTTAAGAACAAGAAAACCCAACTAGATGGTTTCAAGTTTATCACCATATTAAAATCACATTACCCTCTCAACAGTTATGTATCGACCTTCCAGAACTGACTGATTGAGATTTTTAATGCACCGTTCAGCATCTTCAACTGAGTCCATCGTAATGAAGGCAAAACCACGAGAAATCCGAGTCCGAGGCTCCATAACAAGAAAGCATGAAGCTACCTGAGGATGAATGCAAGCAAATATTATAAATGAAAAATTCATCAGTACACCACGTTTCAATAAAAAGTTCTAAAACAATTAACTTTAAAACAAACTATAAAATCGAAGCACCTTTCCCTCCTTTGAAAAATGCCTTTCAACATCCTTCTCTGAGACCCTTGTAGATAGGCCGGTCACATACAGTGTATTTCCAGGATTTATAGCAGCAGCCCTACCACAAAAAAGAGACTAAGTTGAGCACTAGCAGCACCATCAGCCCATGTGGCCAGCACAGAAAAATATCAGTGTCGTCAATCGGAACAAGGTTTGACAAGATTCAACTTTAGAAACACATATACTACCCAAAAGAAAAACCAAAACTTACACCAACCTGCCAGGACTTCTGGACCTTGATCTGCACCAAAAAATGCCAACCATGTATCAGAAATATAAGTGGTACACGGCCAAAATATTAAAGTTATTAAGGTCAATAAGTAACATAGTGAAAAGTACATATAAGCAAAAAATTAACACCAACCTGCCGCGACTTCTAGAGCGAGACCTCTGCCTTGGTGGCCTAGACAATGATCTTGACCGTGGCCTCGGCCTAGACCAAGACCTGGACCTGGACCTGGACTGAGCTCTCCATGGAGACGGGGATCGTGAATACCTTATTTATCCATACACAACATAAATTTTTTGAACAACTTCAAATAAATAAAAAATAAACATTGATAATCTGATTTGAACTCTGCTGCATAGTGAATCTACATAATTAAGACCGCCAACTCAAACCTAATATTCTATCCAAAATAACATTTATCTTTAGTGAATTTAACAGACCCTAGAATTACCATATTAACCCTTGCATGAACATATTAACCATATTGAGAGATACTAGAATGTTCCAAATTGGGCATTTCACCCACTATCCAAGCCAAATTTGAAACATTCTTGAAAACGCGATGGAAAAAATAAACAAATGCTCAAAAAGCATAAACTTTCAGGTCACTTGATTCTATATTTCTATAGGATAACACAGTGAACAACTTCGAAGCCTAACAGTAAATTACAAACATCTATGGTACAATTACAGCACTTAAATGGTAAACAAACCCTCTCGTGTAAAAACAGTTGCCACATTATGGTCTCTCCGAGAAACCCTCAAATTTCACGTCGGAATATCTTCCATAGACTACGGCGCAGCACATCAAGCACAACCACATGAACCTAACATAACCCGCATGCGCTCCGGCATATCTATCAACTGCATTTCTAAAACAATTAGCTAATATTGAAAATCCTAAAACAGGGAATTTGTGTGTTGTTCCTTTCCTATAATTGCTAAGGGAGGCCCCTTAAAGTATCGGTTTCTACACAAAAGTTTACGAAAAATGAGAGATAACCAGAGACAAACATAGCAAAAGAAATGTTCCCAATCCATCACCCAAAAAATCAGTTAAACACACAGCGAATTCTAAACTCCAACAGATCGAAAGCCTGGATACATATATCATGTTAAAGTACAATTCTTTCTTTCAAAAAACATGGTAGGATGCAATTCCAAACCAGAAATTGAAAACAAGATTTGGGATTTTAGGGCTTACTTTTTGCGTGGAGAATCCGCCTGCACAAAAATTGTAAAACAAAAAAGGGATTAAAAATTTGAACTTTTGTCGAGCATGGAACAGCTGCATACGATGTTCTAGAGAGAAATTACCATTTTCAGAGGGCAAAGGCGAAGGACCCTAGAGAGAGAAAGAACAGAGAGGGAAAAGACCGGAGGTAATTAGGGTTTGCGGTCAATAAGATTTCTGGGATGAGTAAATTGAAGCTTCCTCAACTTTAATCAAATTTGAATAATAATCTCTCAATTAAAAATTCATTTCTATTAACTCCTTAACTCATCAAAATATGTAGCTATGATCATTTTCGTCGACTTAGTCAAAATTTTGTCAAATTAAATTATGTTGAAAGGTCTATTTCTCCAATTGAATAAAAGTTAAATGACCATGTCTTCAATTGAATTAAAATTGAGGGACCATTTTTTCTTTGGGATAATTTGATATAGATCCAATTTTGTGAGAGATTAGTAGAATTAGTCCACTTCATTGAAATAGGTCCAATAATTGAGATTCCATGTATGTTTATTTGTGGTTTGTACCATATTTACCCCTTAGGCTTACGAATTGTAGTAAATACACAAAATTTCTTAATTATGAGATAATTTGTGGTTTAACTAATCCCTTAATTGTAGGATTAGTTATAGCCATATAATCACCTCAACCCCCAGTCTGTTTCATCCCTCATTTTTTCCTTCTTCCAAACAATCCCCTCTATCAATCCTTCTCTTTTTTGTCTCTTCTTTTCATGGGTGATATTTTTACGTTCTTTCCTCCAAATTCGTTCCTTTAATGGAGGTATATTATATCATATTTATATTTTTATGTTCCACCATGTAGGTTCCCAGCATTTTTCTTCCAATACAATAAGTAGTTTATTTTTGTTTTGCGGGTAGATTATATCTGCTTTGTAGGTATAAAGCATTTTCTTCCTATACAATAGGTAGGTAGTTACTAGATTATATCGGTCTTGTTTTCTTCATAAATAGTAGGTAGTTACTAGATAATATTTTAGTTTGAGTATTTAAATATTCAAAATTTAAAAACTGAATAAATGATAAAAAATTAAAGAATTTAAATATTTTTATCTGAAGGGGCAAAATTGATATCAAAATATGTAATTGAATAACTGGACTCGGTCCCAAAAACTATCTAAGTTTTTGGACCTAGATCCAAAAGCCCCTTTTTCTTTTGGATTAAAGTTGAGGGATCGTTACGGTTGGAAAGCGCTGTTTTGCGTCTATTTTCTGCGTAGGACCGGAGAATGACATTCAATATTTGTTCGGGAACGATCCTCTACGGCGAGGCACATTTTTATTAGGTGTAATTTTCTTTTTATTAAAGATTTTCGGGTAAACTCCAGTTGACGCTCTTAAATTTTAGTGCAATTACAATATTATACATAAATTTATGAATTTACGCTGATGTCGATGGAAAAAATGTGCCACATGGAAAATGTTAGAATAATTAACAAAAAATAAACAAAGTTTATTTTCTTTGATAAGTTTATTTATTTCTTAATTTTTCTTTAATTCTTTTCATACAACGTCAAGTTATCAGTTAACGATTAAATAAATAGATTAATTAACAAATGTATAACATTGAAATATATTTGTAAGTTTGTGTATGACATTACATTGTTTTAAAGATGAGGTATGATTGTCACTTAGTACTACGGTCTAGTGATATTCCTCTTCACTTGTAAGTGAGAGGTCTTAAGTTCGATTCTCGCTAAAGGCGAATTTGAACCACATTAAGCGTACTCCATTTCCCTTATTGTAGATAATATCGTTTGTTAAAAAAAAAAAAAAAAAAGAGGTATGATTTGCAATTGCACCCAAATTTAAGGGTGTAAATTGTATTTATCCAAGAATTAAAGACAAACATAATGGTTTAGATGAGTCAGTTTGCTCTCGTAGTTACATGAATTAGTCTAAAATATCGCTTATATAAAAATAAAAAAATTTCTTAAGAGGTGGGTAGATTAATAGTTTTACAGAAAAAGAAAAAGATTACTGCTACTTCACTATTCACATTGTCGAAATTCCTTAATACATACAACAAATTGAAAAAAAAAAAAAGGACTGCTGCTTCATTTGATACAAATTCACAAAGTGACATCATTTCACCTCACAAATTTACAAAATTGAATCAACAACAAACAACGCCCACTATTTTGATCTGGTAACTTGAACACTAAGCAATGTCTCGCCTCAAATTGATTGCACAAATCACGTTTGAACATAAGAATGTCGAGAGATTATGTTGTGAGCATATCAGGAACTGCGGCGGAATGAGCTCCAAGTACTTTACCACCAACATCAGGGAAGTTTTCATGTCCCGGCAGGGGGCCGACCTTCCCATCAACATCTACCTGGATAGGATACTTCAGAAGATGACCCTGCAGTAGTGTAAATTCTGGTGTTGTGAACCTCTTCCAGTTTTCGTCCGCAATCGCATTTACTTTCCTCATACATTCCAAACTCTCAGGCTCTTGGAAGCATGGATCCAAAATACCAAGGTGCTCTGCCCAAAGCGACCTTCGATATCCATATATCTGCATAAACGGAAGATTGGAGGTCTCATCAAAGCATGTCTTTCACTATTTCCTTCCGTTATATACCATCAAAATATTTTGAGACAGAAGATGAAGGAAGGGACATTTCTGATGTTGTCAACAAATTCTAAATTTGTGAGATAATTAGCATAAAATGCACTTTAACTTGTTCTGTGAAGATAATGGAATAAAGGGGCAAGAAGGAACTGCTACTCTAAACCAAAGGGTCCAAGACAAGAACAATTACGACAGCTAGTGCTAATAAAGTCTCGTGGACGCTAAAGGTAGTGGGCCACTATAGGTTGCGAAAAGCAAGAGAGAAGTGCAGCAAGCTACAGACCTGACCAAACGGATGTTTCTTCCTCGCAGCCCAAGTGTGATGGGGTTGATACGCACCCATAGCTATCTCAGTGTCTTTTGTACCAGCCATTGATCTTTGGTTGATATTGGCAGATCCCAGTAGTACATACTCGTCATCTACTACCATACCCTTGGCATGAACATAAATCATGAACCGCTTATATTTAAATGAATCGGAAACCTGAAAGAAAATAAATTATGAAGACCAACATCTGAAGAGTTTCCAGCTGACAATAAATTAAAGCAGATATCTTATCCACTCCAAAATGTAGTATACATGTGACAGATCTTGATAATAACCGTCGAACCCAATAAACAAACCATTTTGGTTTTTTTTTTTTTTTTTTTTTTTGTTATTAGCCATAGGGATCAAGGGCCTACAATTTAACTTAGGTCAACCAAAGAAGTTAGAATTCAATGAGTTCGACTATTAGAGTGGTGCAGATGACAATTGTTTTCAAATAATTACCGAAGATGCATTGTCATTTGCCATATCCTCAGGAGGTATTTCCCGTTTACCCAGGCAATAGAAACTTAGGTAATCTTGAGGATGTGAGTCCTGAAGCTGCGCCGATTTCAGTGCCTGTGCAACGACACTATACATCGCTTGCATTGTCTGGCTCTGCAAATAGCAAATATACACAAGTCAGAAAGAAACTTTCACGTGTCCTTTCGGTTCTTATTTGTTAAGCAGTTTCTCAATTCCCCTTATCCTAGACATCTAAAGATTAGATACCAACATTATGCGCAACATCAAACAAATAATTCTAAGGCTAAGCCAATAATTTCCATGAACAAATTCCTGTTGATTCGGGTCTAGTCAAGCTGCTAGCAAAGAGAATCAATGATGTCGAAGCAAAAAGTCCATCACTATTTATCCTAGTCATTCGAAGATCATAATATCCAATTTCGTAGTCCTATTTAACAACCGTGTGATTTCCGCGTATATTTATATATTAGATAACCACATACCTGCCAGAAGAGAATTTCTTGCATTGCAGCAGTTTTTGGATCACCTTCAGGCCACATAGGTAAAACGACATAGACTGTAAATCTCTCATTAGCTTTAATTTTGCTAACAATCTTTAATGCCAACTCCATTGGGATAAGATTATCAGCTCCTGTACACACCATGAGAGAAAATAGTCAGATAAATTTTAATCATAAGAAAGGAGATATCTACTATCAATTAATAACGATGTTTACTTAAATGTTTGCAAACAGAAGAATTATGAATTTGACATAAGCGAAGTAGTTACAGGTTAGGTGGCAGGTGCAAAAATATAGGGTAATTGAGGCTAAAATTTGTGTAAACCCAACGACGAAGAAACCAAAAGCAGATGCAAACTTTCAATATTTCTAGACTTCTAGTCAATTAAGGATAACATAACAGCAAATTGAGCTGCTTCCCATGTACAAAATGCTTGAACCATAAATTCCAAGTGCAATTATGCACACATGAAATAACAAGCTACTGTACTGTTTTACAAAACTAAAATTTTGCTCCCAAAATATAAACATTAATTCCTAGAAAACAAGCATTAAACATTGTCATCTCACCTGCATTTTCATAATCTGGCCACGCATATGATGAACCAAGAAAATACTGATTTTCGATATATATAAAACGTTGGGCCGATCTGATTGCATGGATGTATGCTGTTTGAATGCTTTTATCTATTACCAGGTTCTTTGAGCAGATAAGATTCTGCAGTTACAATAAAGAGGTATGATCAGATTTAGGCCGCCCATTTAAAAGTATAAAAATGGAAGACAGATAGAAGAAGGGGGAACAAGAGGGGGAATCAAATAAAAACCTGGGCCTCAGCAGCACGGCCAGCTTTGGGAAATCCCTTCAGTGATCCTGAGTCAATGGACCGGAAAATCTACAAGAGAAGGAAGAAATTACCAACTTGATTCTCCTTTTTACTACAGAAACAATATATTGTGTGTGTGTGTGCATACCCACCAAAATAAAATTATTAAAAGAAACAGAAAACAACAGAAAGGAGGGCAAGAAAGTTGCATCTCCACCTGAACATGCCAATCCTCAGGATCTTCTTCACGGTTAACCCACAAGGAAGGGTCGTCTTCTGGAATAGTTGTACTATCCTTTGAAACAGATAGGGGAGGACTTAGTATCCAGGAGATGCGGTCAATTTTTATCAAAGCATCATCATGCCAATGTGAAACCTTCTTACGTAATAGTCCAAACTCCTTCCACTGTGTTGCTTTCCTCCAACGTTGCTCAAAGTTTATAAGAACATCATATGCAGCAGGCCCATCTATTCTACAGTGCAAGTCATGCCATGGTTGTCTTGGAGCCTTGGTTCCAGCCTATTACAAGAATACACCATGAACATGCGGAAAGATACGCATTAAAGAAGTCTCATTATATATCATTCTAATTACAGCATAATATACAAAAGAAAAAGGGATACAGTATGCTAGAGCCTAGATGCAATGCAGATAATAAAACCCATCGCCAATTACTTACAGGAAAAGTAGGTTGATGAAAATCACCCTCAAATACAGTGTTAAGATCACGAAACAGTCTGTGCTCGGGTGTGTCATAACGACCATCACAAAGATCAAGACCTCCTAAAAACGCAGTTATCTTCCGATTATTACCATATGCCTGTGTGTCCACAAGAACACATTTTTGATGGTGGGTGAAGAGGGTTCCAACAACCTGTTCAAACCCATACAGTGCTTGTTAAATTCAAAATGTTGATCAGCTCAGTAGAAAAGAACGTCAAGTAAACCGTAAACTATTCTGAAATAAAACAAAATCTCCGATAAAAGCAATAAGTGGATTGCAATGAAGAAGTTATTCTCAAAACACAGAAGGTTCTGGCCAATTGTACCCAAATGGTCAGTATTCGGGATATATCCATAACTTGGAGATTGCATTAAACAAATGAGCAAAAGCAAAAGGGACAAAAAAAACAGTGTCAATACCAAACTACAAAATGTCATAACTGAAACCTGCCTGTTGTTTTATAATGCTAAGCTTACTGCTCGCGTAGCGAGTTGCCAGAACACAATTTACAGATGAATGCTTGAAAAACTTCTTTGTTTCTTCATCATGCGTCGCCATCATTCCTGCCTGCATCCAATCCAACTTTCACGTTATGACCCAATTTCCAGACTATTGGAGTTTTCAAGTTGTATATTCATTGTAAGGAAAAAGATTACAAGACCTAACCAATATACGTATATCGAAGAGAAGGAACAAGCCCCCTATCCCTCCTTGATTTAAGCCTAAAAGCTAACAACCAAAAGTAAATAACTACTAGATACACATCCCTTGAATTAAGGGGATTGACAACAGGAAACACTATTGGTGACAACAATGTACAAGGGGGCAGAAAACAGCCCACTCTACATGGTACATCAACCCATCCCCCTAAAACTAGGTTAACAACAGGTACACTTCATCTAATACTCCCCCTCAAGTTGGATCAAATGGGTCAATTGATCCAAGCTTGAACAAAAGACGCTGAAAAACAGCAGATGTCAATCCTTTTGTGAAAATATTTGCTAGTTGATCATGACTGCGTGTGTAGTGAGTCTGAATCACCTTCGATTGAACTTGATTGCTAACGTAGTGGCAATCAACCCCGATATGTTTAGTTCTTTCATGGAATACCGGATTCGATGCAATGTGCATTGCAGCCTGGTTATCACAGTGCAGGGACATCGATTGCTAATGAGAAAAACCTAAGTCCAACAGAAGGTGTTTGAGCCAAATTAGTTCACACGCAGTGGATGCCTTAGCATGATATTCAGCCTCGGCGCTGGAGCGTGCAACCACACTTTGTTTCTTGCTTTCCCAGGTAACTAGGTTGCCTCCTACAAAGGTACAAAGACCTGTGGTAGACTTGCGAACGAGAGAATTGCCCGCCCAGTCAGCATCTGGTGAACAATCTTCAAATGATCCATTTGTTGCGCATAATAATTCCTCTACCAACAGAACCCTTGAGATAACGAAGCACACGCTGAACAATCTTCAAATGATCCACGGTTGGAGAGTGCATAAACTAGCTAACAAGATTGACAACATGTGATGTATCAGGGCGTGTGATAGTCAGATAAATGAGTTTGCCAACCATCCCTTGACAGTAACGTATGTTTGGAATGACATCACCGTGAGTTTTCAGCTTCAAGTTGCCATCCAAGGGAGTGCGAGCAGGCTTGCAATCTATCATATTTGCTTCGTGAAAAAGGTCAATAACATACTTGCGTTGGTTGAGAAAGAAGCCATTGCGAGAGTGTGCCATCTCGATTCCCAAAAAATATTTTAGAGTGCCAAGATCTTTGATTGCAAACTTCTTGTTGAGATACTATTTAAGAGCATTAATCTCTGACATATTATCACCTGTCATAGATCGTCAACATATATTAGCACAATGAGTTTACCTACTGAGCTAGAACGAACAAATAGAGAGGAATCAGCAGTGCTTCAAAGAAAACCAACTCTTTCTAGAACATGTCTTAACTTGGCATCCATGCACGTGGACTTTGCTTGAGACCATAAATGGATTTATGAAGTTTGCACACCATTTCTAGGTTATTTGATTGAGGGTGACCTGGGGGAAGCTTCATGTAAACCTCTTTTTCAAGTTCACCATGCAGAAAAACATTTTTAACATCCATTTGAAAGAGAGGCCATGCATTGTTGATTGCAACTGACAACAACACCCTAACAGTGTTCATTTTTGCCACGGGAGCAAATGTCTCCTTATAGTCGACCCCATAGGTTTGTGTAAATCCTCGAGTAACGAAGCGAGCCTTATGTCTTTCAACCGTGCCATTTGAATGGAACTTGGTTTTGTATATCCATTGGCTCCCCACTACCTTTTTCCCTTTTGGCAGTTTCACTATGGTCTATGTGTGATGTTCATGAAGAGCTTCCATGGCAGTTCTCCACTCATTATGAAGATTAGCTTCTTGAAAACTTTGTGGTTCACGAGCTTCATTAATAGCACTTAAGAACGCAGCAAAACATGGTGAGACTTCGCTATAATCAATAACAACAGTCAAAAGGATACCTGGTAGTGTATGTCACATAGTCATGTAACTTGGAGGGAAGTTTCCTCTCACGAGCAGGATTGCGACTAACTGGAGGAGAGTGGACTGCAGGCAACTGAGTAATGTCATTGTTGGAAGGAGTCTCTGAAAGAGGAGACTCCAAAGGAGTGGAGAATTCCTCTTCAGGATGTGTCACGAAGTGAAGGTTGCTAGCATCTAGTTCATGCTCGCTAGACATGCATGTTGCATCTTCTTCATTTGGATATGGAGTTGGAAATAAATCTAGTAAATGCTCCCCCTGTCTAGAATCATCCAATGGTCGTGAGAAGCAAGGAACTTTTTCTTCAAATCTAACATCCCTTGAAACAACTATTTTTCTAGTTGTTGGATTGTAACACTTATAACCTTTTTGGGTGGATGAATAACCTAGAAAGACACATTTGGCAGCCCTTGGGTCTAGCTTGTCACGATTTTGTGCTTGAATGTGAACAAAGCATGTACACCCAAAGACTCTCAAATGTGATAAATTGATCTTTTTGTCTTTCAAGACTTCATAAGGTGATTTAAAGTTCAACACCTTACTAGGTAATCTATTGATGAGATATGTTGCAATGAGAACTCCCTGAGACCAAAATTTCTTAGGCGCATTCATGTGAAACATAAGAGCTCTAGTCTTCTCAAGTAGATCTCTATTCTTCCTCTCGGCTACCCCATTTTGTTGGGGTGTTCCAACACAACTTGTTTGATGTAGTATACCATGCATGCTCAGATATTCTGACATGTTATGAGACATATATTTAGTGCCATTATCTGATAGTAAAACATGAATTTTTGAAGCAAATTGTGTGGCCACAAGTCTATGAAAATCTTGAAAAACATTCATCACTTCATTTTTAAATTTCAGAAGGTACAACCAAGTGATACTTGTGAAATCATCCACAAAAGTTACAAAGTATTTGTATCCATCAAAAGACTCTAGAATTGGTCCCCAAACATCGAAACGCATGATTTCAAAAGGATTACTAGCCCTAGACAAAGAGGAGGTAAATGGTAATCTAGTAAACTTAGAGAAGCGACACACATCACAAGAGATTGTAATTTTGCTCAAGTTGGGAACAAAGTGGATAGGACTTTTTCAGAAGGATGTGCTAGTCGTTGATGCCAAAATTGTTGTTCTTGAGCTAAGCTTGAAGTAACTTGAAAAACCTTGGGAACTTGAGTATGCTTGGAAAGGTAGTAGAGACCATTTAAGAAAAATCCTTCACCAATCGTCTTCTTGGTGACTAAATCTTGAAAAATCACTTTTTTTTCAGAGAAAATGGCAAGACAATTTAATGAGCTTGTGATCTTGCCAACAGTAAAAGTTGAAAAAGAGAATGAAGGGACATAAAGAGCCTCAGACTTGACATCATTTAAGATTACGTGTGTTTTTCCTTTTCCTACAACCATAGCACCCTTGCCATTAGTAACTGACACTTGAGATGGAGTTGAAAGTTTTTCAAAGTTATGCAAGTTTGTAGACTTTTTAGTCATATGATCAGTGGCTCATGAATCTATAATCCAATAATCATGCACATTACCTACTTTGAGAGCAGTTGAGAAAGAGTGTAAGATACCTGAGATATCTTGTTGTATCACACCTTCATTTTCAACCAGAAAACCAGCAAACTGTCCTAGTACGGCAGTTTGATTGTTGTCACACTAATTCGTTGGTCCTTCACTATCTCCATGACCTTGTTTCTTATGAAGGAAGGCAACAAATTCATTGATTAAAGTGGCTGGATTGGAGGTGAACTTCAATGCTCCCTCGGATGAAGTGGTGGCAACATGATTTGCCTTGTAAGAAGTGTTGTGTGAACCCTTAAAAGAACTTTTGTTGTTGTCCGTAGGGAACTTTGGCCTTAGCTCTGGATGAAGAATCCAGCAATGATCTCCTGAATGCCCACCAGCATCACATTGACTACATTTCAAACCAGATCTTCTTCCTTTGTAGCCCTTCTCCTCACCAGGTTTGTGGTTAGAAAAATGAACCCTAGCTTCTGGTATATTTGCCTTAACTACCACGGTCATGATTTTTCTGCGAACTTCTTCCCTTTGAATCGTGACACACACACTTAAGAAAGAAGGCAGGTCTGGATTCATGAGGATGTGGCTTCGAAGGTCTTCGTATTCAGGACTTAGGTTTGCTAGAAGCTGGAAGATCTTGTCCTCCTCAGCTCTCTTAGTTAACACAGCCAACATCGATGGTGTGTGGTCGGTACACATTCAACTCATTCCACATGGTGGTCAACTTTCCAAGGTGTTGCACAAATGAATTTCCTTCTTGTTGCAGGCTAGCAATATCCTTCTTTAACTGAAACACTCGAGCTGCATTATTTTGATTCCCATACATTTCCTTGAGATTTTTCCGAAGAGTCAAGAAGGATTCAACATAACTGAAAATTTTTGCAATCTTACGATCCATAGAGTTGAGTAGCCACGACATGACCAACTGGTCTTTGCACAACCAAGCATCGTAATCTGGTGAGGGCTTCTTAGGCATTGGAATAGCATCATTGACATAGCCAAGCTTTGATCGTCCTCCCAAGGCAAGAGTGACTGCTCTCTCCCAGGGAAGATAGTTAAACTCATTTAGTAAGACAGAACTAAGACGTTGATTTGGGTTGACATCAACGTCTGAGCGAGGTGATGATGGAGCAGCATGAGAGCTATCTCCTTCGCCATGTACTGAACTTTCTTCAGCCATGTTTGAAGAACAAATAAAAAAAATAAAAAATAAATAAATAAATAAAAAGCTCAAAAAATCTCTCAAGAGAGTACATAGAGACAGGCCGGTTAGGGTCACTACTCTGATACCATTTTGGAGTTTTCAAGTCGTATATTCATTGTCAGGAAAAAGATTACAAGACCTAACCAATATATGTATATCGAAGAGAAGGAACAAGCCCCCTATCCCTCCTTGATTTAAGCCTAAAAGCTAACAACCAAAAGTAAACAACTACTAGATACGCATCCCTTGAATTAAGGGGATTGACAACAAGAAACACTATTGGTGACAATAATGTACAAGAGGGCAGAAAACAACCCACTCTACATGGTACATCAACCCATCCCCCTAAAACTAGGTTAACAACAAGTACACTTCATCTAATACAGACCGTCGTATTTAAACTAACTCAAGCATTACACAAACTACACAATGCAGGTTTTTAGTCTAGAAATGATGGCATACTTCAAAGCCTATGCAAGTTTCAAAAGTGTTTTTTTTTTTTAATAAAAAATATTATCTACACCAAGGCTACATACCCGACATACCATATCAAGAAAAAGTAAATCAAAACGACAATGCAGGTTTAGAAATGTCACCGTTTTGAAGCAGAACTTGTCGTGCGAGGTCTTATCGTCCCACACCAACAGCAACACCCTCACGCCCTCCTCCGACTTGTACTTCAGCAAATCGCCGAGCGTCAAATTTCCCCCGCGCGGCAGCGGCCGGCTCGGCTCCCGAATCAGCCGCACCTTGTGAAACACCGACCAACCCACAATGTAAATCAAGTGGTGCGCCTCCGAAATCGCATAGCAAATGTCCTCCCACGTATTCTCCTGCTTATACACCTTCCCGCCGTCCAACTGAATCTCCGGCAGCAGCCCCTCCGGGCAGTGCGCGTCTTGGTACAATCGCACGGAGCTTCCCTTCCGGAGCGGGAAATACGTGTGCGGCACGCCCTTGTGTTCCGGATCCCCCGCTATGCCTTGTTTGTACAATGGGTTTTTCTCGAACGGCGTGAACTGCAATTCGACCCGGATCGCCGAGTCGGGTTTCGGGGGCTTCCCGGAAGGTCCGATAATCGGGAACCACCCGGAGATGGGCTCTCCGGTGGCGATTTTCTCGGCTGGGATCTTGGCGGTTCCGATTATCTCGGCGCCGAAGACGTCGTTATCTTTGACCTGAAACTCGAGGTTAGTCACGGGGTGAGCCAGCGGGATAAAGAAATGCTCCTTCCACTGCGGATTCTGGGAGTTCTTAATGACACGTGTCCGGGCGACGGTGGTCTGGGGGACCACAACGGTGACGTAGGGGTCGCTGGTTATGATCTTGCGGTGGGGTCCGTGGGGCTTGCGGTCTCGGCCGTCGTCTTCGGCGGAGCGGTGGCAGGATATGTTGATGGTGTCGCAGGCGGTGAAGCAGCGGCGGAAGCGCTCGGAGACTATGTCCATGTTGGGGAGGTGGCAGGCTTCGACGATTGTGAGGTCGAGGTCGCCGTGCAGGTAGGTCACCCGCTCCGACGTCTTTTCGGCCATTTCCGGAGGTCAGTGTACAAAACGTAATTTGGTATACCAGATTTGCTGGGTTTGCGGTGGTGTGAATAGTGACAAAAGCTGGGTTTATGGGGTTTGGCGTTGCCTATAGGCAGAGAAGGTGGGAGTTGCAGAGGACCTCGTGGCACCTCGGAGGGATTTGGGGGCTTTTTAAAATCCCGTGAAAACAAAGTGTGAGTGGGGCCAGGAAGTTACTGTCCGTTACCAAAAAAAATAAAAAATAAAAAAATAATAATTGGGTTTATATTTCGGGAAAGTTCGAGCAATTTGCACACGACATGAATCTTGAGAGGGAGAGGTGTCAATTTTTTTCCGTAGTTTCGACATTCCTCTTGTCTCGGTCTATTTACACATGATGAACCAAAAAAGTACAAATATTTACTTAAAATCCGTACTAGTTCTTATGATTCCATTTCTTTCTCCTATTTTTAATTTTTGATTCTTTTTTTTTTTTTTTTTCATTTGTGTTAAGTAAACATGCTCTAAAATGTGCAAGCGAAATTATTTCCTATTTAGTTATGAGGATGGTGCAAGTAAATGTATTGGAGAATTTAAGCATAAGAGATCCCGATAAAAATTGAGAATTGCGTCAACTAATCTCATAACTTATCAAATTTATGATTATGAGATTATCTAATTATGAATTTGAAAGTGAGATCGTATTTTTATTTTTTATGTGTTAGTAAACACGAATGAAGTTAATAATTTGAATAATCAAATCAAAAGTCTATCAGAGACCAATAACAAAAACCTTCAAGAAAAAACTCTAATCCTTAAATGAAAAAAACCTAGCAACCGATCCTTTGACTATGATCTTGGGATCGGCGTCAATTCATCTTTCTTTCTTTTTTTTCTTTTTTTTCTCTATTTATAGAAATGACCACTCTCTTGTTCTTTCAAAAAGAGTTATTGTGGTTTTAATTGCTTTCTCGTTTGACTCTGTTCTTGATGAAATTTCTTTTTACGGGAAGAAGAATAGGGGATTCCAAAAATGAGTTGGGGTGTTTGGTGTGCAATAATTGGGTAGTACGCATGGAGTGTGAGTGAGACCCATGAAAATAATTGAGCATGTTCACTTCATATTTTGGGTGAGTTGTGGATCCAACTACTTATACCATCAATCAATACCTACCCATTTTAAAATTAAGCACGAAATCTTTGAAAATCTCCGATGATAAATGATATCAATTCTCAAATGGGATTCTCCAATGTTTATGATGCTTTGGGAACTACATGTTTTCATAATGTTATTAAATGCATAGAATCTATATAGTTTTTATGTGTTACACACAAAGTAAGATGTTTGCAAATTAGGAGGGGAGAGATTTCTAAGCATTTCATGATTCCTTTTAAATGAAAATGGTAGAGAAAAAAATATAAAGAAACAATTACACTCAAAATTTTATACTAAGAATGACTGTTAAGTTTGCAACGTATCATCATTTAGTGTTTTTGTCAATTGGCGAGTACATTATTATATTAGTCACCTCTAAATTTATTTTCTTATCACGTGACGAAGATAATAAAACACAGTATGCACGCTCGATTGCATGGTAGATTCTCTCCATAGGAGAGCCATATTTGTGGGTGTCATCTCCTAGCAGCTTCGAAGCTAGGTGGTCAGAAATTCAGAATGCAGTCCACAAACTATAGGAATAGTGTCACATACACTATTTTAATAACTTGTCCCTCCAAAAGCAGAAGCAGAAAGTGGATTAGGTGCTTATTACTTTTGTGCTTAATCCAACTTCCCCAATCCAAACGTGAAAGCACCATTCAAAAGCAGAAAAAAACTGCTTATTTTGCTTTACAGCTTTAACCTACCGGCCCACAAATCACAATCAGTCTGGTTGGGAAGTTGTCCCCAGCCTCACACTCGTTATCACAAGCTTTCCACATTTATCTATACGCCAAGTGCCAAGTCAAACTATCCATAGACTTTCATGGACCATGATATTGGTATGCTATCACCGTGTTGTCATGCGTTAGTTATACAACACAGTACTGTAGCGTTTTGTGCCAATTTTACATGTGATATAAATAAAAGAAAACTTCACGATAACTGTATACTCGTGTCGTAGAAGTTACTTTCCTAAATATCAATGGTTCCATCATGTTTTCCAAATTTTAGTTTCCAAATGGAGAAAACCCCACATGATTGTGAAGGACGGCTTGCGGATAGATAGTGCCAAAGGGACTGCAACATAGGGTTTGGATGATTTTGGTATCTTTGTAAGAATGAAGTTTAATTATTGTGGGCTTGAAATATTTCAGAATGGGTCGATTTTGGGCCTAAATGAACCACCAAACTAGTCCTACTAAAGAGCCCAAAATACAAATCTCCAGCGAAAAAGAATGTTCATGTAATGAAAAGCCAGCTAACAAATGTTGGACATGAAAATGCCAAAGTGCTTTTGGTATGAAAGCACTTGAAAGTGTTTTTTTAGCCTTTTCAATTGCTTCTTTAAAAATCACTTTCAAAAGCATATGAATTCTTAAATGGAAAGTTTAAGTTACTTTTAATTATAAAACCGCTTTCTATAAAAACGCTTATAAACATAAGTGTATCTCTAATTAGCACTTCCAAAACGTTCTCAAATTCAACTCATCCAAGTATCAAGCAGTTCTATTTGACCAAATAAAACATGTAATTAAACTTAGAGGAAGTGGCAGTTGTTTGGTTCTCAAGCAAAAAGAAGCATTCTAGTTAAAAATATCAATAGTCATGAAATCATGGTAGAACAATTAATATTTACATAAACCTGAATTAAATCCACAGATATTTAATTTCTATTTCGAAACCTAAGTTTCAAAATATAAACAATGATTGATTCGTGCATATGTGTTTTACGATTGAAGAGGCAAAGGGTGAGAAGAAAAGGTCCTCCATTTCCTTAAAGCAACAGCTTCCTTCTTCACATCCCTATGATCTTCATCTTCTTCTCCCCTTACCTCATGTGTCACGTCATTCTTCTGATCATCACGAACCTCCAGTCACAAATCAATCCGCCAACGTGCTACGACCACTGGCAAACCTCTTCATCTGACCCAAAGAAGGCACCCTTTCTGGAGCTCCATCACGGTTCCTATTTTCATTACCTTCTTCCGGGAGGGCTACTTCTTTCGGAACCTTGCTCGAAACCCTAGCCGGCTTGTTCTTCACCTCTTTAGGAATACATGAAACTGGAGCAGAACCAGTACTATTTGATTTGCTTTTGCTCTTCTTCTTGCCATGGACTTGCCCCATGCAGGAGACCTTTGGGGAGGTGGGTTCTTTGGAAGCAAAGGTAATTCCACTCCTGGTTTTCCTTCTGGATTCAGGAGGAAATATCCGTATCATCGGACCGGCTGCTTTTCTAGGGCTCGGAGGTGGGCTGTGGAACGTGATCACGGCCGGCTGTGCAGCTTTTGATAGAAACGTTAAAATCTTGCTTCCCATTCGTTTTAATGGTTTCTCCATCGACTTAATTGTTGTGATTTTTGTCTACTTATATATTCATATACAGTATATATATATGTGTGTGTGTATATTTGTATATCTACATTTATATACGCAGAAATGCCTTTAGGGGCTTTGGGGGAGCCGGAATGGGAATTAGAATGTTGACCTCTTCACAATATCAGCTTGTGCGATGGAAAGGCAAAGGGTTTTTGCCGGCCAAAATAAAAAATTTGGATTGACAATGCATCCTCCACGTGGCAAACAGCAGTGCAATCTCCAAAGTCGAATGTGATTTTTAATTTTGTTATTTTTCAGTATTTCAGATAGGAGGTTTACATCCACAAGTCAAAATCTTTTGTTTATGACTTAGGATCAAGAGCAAATATTTTGAAACATATTTTATAACTTTTTTATTTTAAAGGGTCAGTTAGTAGTTTCGTCAGAGATTATGAGCAATTTTTGCTGGTTCACTCCTTCATTCGTGAATGTGTACTTGAATTTAATTCCAACAAAAGAGAGAATCAAAACCAAAACATATGATCAATATCCATCGTTTTTACATGCGAACGTGGAGTCATCAATCTAATACCCAGTAATGAGCAATTACTATTCTATTACCATTCTAGCTAAATGGGCCTAGGAGAACCTAGGAATCACAATAATTTTACTGTTCATTCTATATTAATTATGTCAGTTAACTAGAGTAATATGTATGTCATCTTCCATCCAAATTCAATCTCTCCTCATACCCATTTGAAAATATTTCTTGTAGAAAAGCAAGACATAAATTAAACCAATAGCATTTTGTGAGCTTTGTGCGTAACCTCTTGAGTAAAAACTTTCTTTTCATCAATTCGCTCATCTAATTAGGCCCTCGAATTTCCGTGAACGGAAGCATAATTTCGGGATCGCAGAAAAAACAACACTACGGTATAACAACGTATCTTTGTGGACACTCAAGCTGTAAAGCCTTTGACAACGTTCATTGGATTGTGTAAGCTTGTGAGTGAAGGCCATGTAATGAGCATTAAACGGTTAAAGAGTAACGTCTCTTCATTTATAGTAGAATATCGTTGTATCAGAAGAACAAAAATATCGTTAAACAGTTAACGAGAAGGGTTGAACTTGATTATAAGTTCAAAACAGTACATGATAGCGACGTAGGCAATTTTATAAATCTACAAATTGGTTATAAGTTCAAAACCAGACTTCTCAATAGACTCGTCATCCTCACACTGATGAAGAGAGGAAGCTATCCGACTAGAACGTAAACTTTCGACACTTACAACACATCGCGAGAGGAAAATATTCTACTGATGCCAAGTTCTAGGGCACTGAAAACACAGTTACACATTCCTCCCTGGATATCTGAACTGATTAATAGTAAAAACTAGTCCTGGGCATATCCTCGACTACTAACGGGATTGTAATATGTACGGCAAGCTTACATCCCCCAGCGAAGCGGCCAACTTGAACACGGCTTCTCAGTTCCAATTAGTCCATGTTTTCCGATGGTAACAGGAGAGCTGTAGACTTATACAAAAGAACCATGAATAAAAGCCGATCAAGTATCATTGTAAATCATTTTCATTCTCTAGCTACTGGCATGCATTTGGGACCCTATTCTGAAATTTTCATCCAACCAAAACACCCTTTCATTTTCCATGGCCGGATTGAATATCGACTTGCTTACATGCTTCCGTCTCTCTAACTACAACTACATGCAATTTCCTTTTTCCGAAATGAAAACTAAGTTTAACTAAACAACTGTACCATGTAACTATAAATAAAACTTTATGCATAAATGAATGAGATATAAGAATACGAGTGCTCGAGTCAAAAGCTTAAGGAGGCACTGATGTTCAAGAGACGTGGAAATGCAAATAACTGGTGGAATGAAATTAACCCTGATAACCCAAAGATAAAGGTTTGAAAAAGAAACTGAAATCTCCATTTGAATAAATAGACACCCACAAGATGAAGGATTCAAATAATATACCTCCACATCATCTACTGGCTAGCAGATGATGGCGAGTAACCAGGTTGACTGGGTGAGTATCCAGCACTTGGACTGCATAGAAATAAAAGTGAGAGGAAAATTCACAAGCATTATGGCACATTTAGTGCAATGGCGATCAAAATAGAAATATTCGGAGAAAAACAAAGATTGTTTCACAGTTTACCTATACTGAGGGGAACTCGAGCTATAGTCTAGGCTCACTCCAGAAGTCAATGGGCTGAACAAGAATAAATATTAGAAAAAGAAAAAAAAAAATTCAACAAACTTGCACATCAGTAAAAACCAAGTAGAGTCCCAAAAAACGAAACTGGACAGGAAAATATAGAACTGTGCAGTCGAGAGGTGACCAAAGAAAGTAAGTTTACCTGCCGGGACTGTATGTGGGGCTTGCGGGAGAGTAAGATGGAGATGTAGGGGAATATGATGGTGAGGTTGGGCTGCAAAAGATAAGAAAACATAATTGGTAGACTACATGAGATTTCCTCAACATAATAATTACAATAATTGGAAAAGACAGAGGCAGCAAAACAGAGAATTAGAAACTGGAGACTAATCAACTGTGAGTAATAATCCTACTCATCAGCCCACATACAGCAATTCTAATACCATAAGTGCAGTTCAAAAGATAGCTCACCTGTAGTTCGGAGAGGAAGGACTGTATGGACTAGATGGTGACAATCTTGGACTGCTTGGAGAGTAGGCTGATGATGGACTGTACTTGGCAGACTGAGGATTATAGCTTGGAGATGTAGGGCTGTAACTGGGCGAGGTTGGACTATAACTAGGCGAGGTTGGGCTGTAACCAGGAGAAGTTGGGCTGTAGGCTGGCGAGGTAGGGCTGTAGGATGGAGATGTGGGACTGTAGGAAGGAGAAGTTGGGCTGTAGGAAGGTGAAGTTGGGCTGTAGGATGGCGAAGTTGGGCTGTAGGAAGGAGACGTGGGACTGTAAGATGGCGAAGTAGGGCTATATGCGGGGGAAGTGGGGCTGTAAGCAGGGGAAGTGGGGCTGTAAGCAGGGGAAGTAGGGGCTGTAGCTTGGTGAGGTGGGGCTGTAGCTTGGAGAGGTGGGGCTGTAGCTGGGAGAGGTTGGCGAGTATGATGGACTTGTAGGAGAGTAAGCTGGACTGGTGGGACTATAGCCGGGAGAACTAGGACTATATGTCGGAGAGGTGGGACTGTACCCAGGAGAAGTGGGGCTATACCCTGGAGAGGTGGGACTGTAGCCAGGAGAAGTGGGGCTGTATCCAGGGGAGGAAGGGCTGTATCCAGGGGATGATGGGCTGTAGCCTGGAGAGGAAGTAGGAGAGAATGCCATTCCTCCAACATAAGGAGAAAACTGAGCATCCGAAATTGGTGACAGCCGAAGATTTGGGCTCAGCAAATAATTAGGGGACATCATGCCCTCGTGATATGGTGTTCCTGACACTGGAGAACGAGACGGTGTCATACCAAAATCAAGACCATCCATGTAACTGGGCAGCTGGAGTTCGATGGCGTTCTTCAGCATCTCATCATTGAGATACAGGGCACAATCTCCCGTCCCAATTGGTGCAAGTTGCCCTAACATTATATTTTCTGTCACGCCTCTTAAATAATCCGTCTCTGCGAACACTGCAGCATCAAGAAGAATATCAACAGTCTCTTCAAAGGAGCACCTCATCATAGGACCAGTGTCATTTCTATTAATGCCATGACGGGTTATTGCCATTAAGTGCCCACGGTACGTCATTGTGTCACAAAGGATAGCGAGATGCCTATAATTAACATAGGACCCATCAAACGATATAACAACCCTCAACTCATCCAACAATGACCGACGAACTGCCTCAATTCCGAGAATTTCAAGAATTTCAATCAAATGATTACTAGTTGTGCGCCTAGCATCAACATCATCATGGCACAGAACAGCCAAGAGATTAACCCCTTCCGTATCCAGCATCCACTCTTGCTCCGCTTTAAACCCTTCATTTGGATCGAACTTGTTAACTTTACCATGTTTAATGAACACCTTGTTAATATCTGGGATACCACGAAGAGCCATCTCTGTCAGCATGTTACTCTCAATCTTCTTCAGAAAAACATCATCTTCAGCAGATTCATCAACCATCTCCCCTTTTGGAGCTTCAGCATTCATGATACGGATACGAAGGATCAATTTTTCTGCATTGTCATCATTGAAGATACAAGTTAAATCATCATCAAATTCAAGGTTAATCTTCTCAGCAATGTCAGCCATGCTCAACTTCTTATCCACCATCATTTCGCGATTCAACTCGATGCGAAGCAACCAAGGTGAAATTTTATCAGGATTAACTTCTTCATCTGGCATTTCATAGTAAGCTCTCACAAAATCAATATCCTCATCAATTATTGTGCTTGTGGGTTCTGGATCGTACCATACTTCTGTAGCTTGAGTTACACTTCGCAAAGTGGTGTATTCCAAAGCACACTGCACATTCTTCGCCCTCTCCTTCGTTTTATTAGCTTCAGGCTTTAAGTAGACAGACAGGGACGGCGTTTTGATTCTCTTGGCTACATTAATAATTTCCCTCAACCTGGGGACACCTAGGGTAACATTCTTTGCACTCACACCTGCGTAGTGGAAAGTATTCAGTGTCATCTGAGTGGCAGGTTCTCCAATAGACTGTGCAGCAACACAGCCAATCATTTCCCCAGGTGCTACAAGCGATTGCAGGAAGCGTGATTCTATCTCCCCAATAACCCACTCAAATGCTTCACGAGTAAGCCTGTACTCATCCAACACCCGTTTGCTTGCGAAAGTGCTGCGAAGTAAAATGTTGAAAAACAATGTTGCATTCTTCTGCGCTTCGACACTCAACAAGTCATCACCAGGAACAACTTTCAGTCTCTCCTGCAGCTTATCAATAGCTTCCACAATTTCCATCGGGTGCATATCAGAAGTCCTTCGGAAGTCAATCTTAAAGGTTTTTTGTGCATTCCAAATAAGCCTCTTCAAGTTAACAGGCAGTGGCCAAGAATTATCACCTGTGACTGCAATCTCTGTTCCAAGTTGTAATCTATCTGTTTCAAGTTTCTGAACTTCTGCATCAAAGACATTACGGAACTCTCTAATCGTTTTGAGATCCTCAACATGTTCGTGCAACATGTAGTCGGGATTCCAATATTCATCATCCAACTCATAAGTAAAAGTCTTATCAAATTCTGTTTTCTTCATTTTCAAAGAATCCAGCTTTTGTGATTCTATCCAAACAGCATCCATCCCATCTTCCCCATATAGAAACTGAATGACATCACCCAAAGAATTACGTACTGTGCCATCATATTTCACCATAATATCCTCCATAGCCTTCACCAGTCTCCTTTGGATGTACCCAGTCTCAGATGTCTTAACAGCAGTATCTATAAGACCTTCCCTACCACCCATAGCATGAAAAAAGAACTCCTGTGGAGTTAGTCCACGCAGGTATGAATTCTCTACAAATCCACGACTTTCTGGTCCATAATCATCTTTAGTAAAGTGGGGCAACGTCCGGTCTATGAACCCGTACGGGATTCGCTTACCCTCAACGTTCTGCTGTCCCACACAAGCAGTCATCTGTGATATGTTGATAAAACTCCCTTTGGACCCTGCTGTAACCATGGCCTTAAGATTGTTGCTCTCATCTAAACTCTTTTGAGCACTACTTCCAGCATCATCACGAGCCCTATTCAACACCTGGAAAAATCACATACATTATTACTCAACAATATGCAGGCAAAAAAGAATAATTGCAGGCAAAAAGCCAAGTAGCACACCTGGTTCACTTTGTTTTCAAACGAATCCATCATGGTTCGTCCAGGTTCAGCCTCCAGCTGCTTAGATTGGGCTTTACTTATAAGATCTTTCACCTCATTTTTCGCCTTGGAAATTGTTTCATTGATTTTCTCCATTGTGGCTGCATCAGCAATCGTATCTCCAATTCCAATGCTAAAAGCATTCTGCAGCAGCCAGTAATTCACAAGCCATTGGGTATGACCCAGAAACTTGCGAGCTGCATCTGGACCAACCTCTTCCCTGCCCAACAAGAAGTTTCAATGGATACAACTTCTCCTTTGGTCAAATTATATGTTTGATACTCAGATGGAAGCAAACGTCCTATTGTATGGTGCATCATAAACTCCGAGTATGAACTTCACCAAGATCATACACACAAATGCATTTCTTAACTTAATAGAGTGAACGGAATAGAGAAAATCATACCATATAACATGAATAAGACTTCCTGTAGAAGTCCCAAGGGCCTTCTTGCAGAGAGTTCCAGAAAGCAATTCACCCTTTTCTATTCTAACAAGAGTATCCCCTGGAGTTATGTTCCCACTCTCTGATTCCGAGTGCCATGCAGAAGTTCTTTGGAGATTTATTTGTTTTGGTATTATAAGATTGAACACCTGTTTTCCAGTCCAAAGTGGCCGGGGCTTCAAAATTGCAGGAGCAGGAACTTTTCCATCAAAATCCTCCCACCACATCAAGATATTCATGAAAACATCCTGAAAAGAATTAGTGAGGGTAAGGCTCCTTTTGCAGTGAAAAGAGAATATTAACAAAACATGATATTCAAGAGGTAAAATAGGGATGAATCAGTTACCTTCTCTATGAAGGTGTCCCTCTTAGTGATCTTACGACAACCTAAAAGTGTGTCCTGCACAATTCCCATGACAGGTCGATTTGACTGAGGTGAGACGATGCATTTTGGCACCATCATGAGCTCCAATACTTCAGCCCTGGTTTCAAAGGACTGGGGCACATGCATGTTCATTTCATCCCCGTCAAAGTCAGCATTATACGGCGACGTCACAGACAAATTCAATCGAAATGTTGAGTACGGCATGATCTTGATTCTGTGGCCCATGATAGACATTTTATGGAGACTAGGTTGTCGATTGAAGAGGATAAAGTCTCCATCATTCAAATGACGTTCCACCTGAAGCCACAATAGTAGAAGTTCAAAATTTACTCTCAAACAGAAAAGATCCAAATCAAAACTTATCAGAACTGAAATAGCAATGCCTTATATCCAAGCTCCAAATGATGATCACTGCTTTTCTTCAAATAACGAAGATCAAGCCTTTGCCCATCATCCCTTATTATATACTTCGCACCAGTTTTACCAGGCGGAGGATGGGGGCCATACTCAACAAGCTCCTTCAACCTGTTTGTTATTGAATGATATTCCATCAGTAGAAATAGAATAAACTAGGGAAGATGAAAAACTGTAAAAAAGAACAAGATCGGAAAATTACAAAAAAATAAAATAAAGTTTACCTTTCAATATTATATGGAGTCACAGTCTCAGGGTATGTGAGATTCAAAGCAATGCTCCATGGCACTCCTAATTGATCAATGTTTATGTTTGGATCGGGAGTAATCACTGTTCGTGCTGAAAAGTCAACACGTTTCCCCATTAAGTTGCCTCTTATACGCCCTTCCTTTGCCTTCAGTCTACTACAAATTGATTTAATAGGCCTCCCTGATCTCTGCGTAGCCTGTTCAGTGTGGAAAATTTTCAGAGTATGCATGAAATGAAGTTCTACTGCTTAACATAAATTTATGTCCACAAAAAAAGAAAGACACAACATAAAAGCATATAGCTACTATGCAGAAATATGTTTCCATGTATGCATACCCTTGGTAGTCCTGGCAACTCATTGTCAAAATAAGTGGCAATGTGGAATTGCAGAAGTTGTGCAAACTCTGAAATGATATGAGCAGGAGAACCGTTTCGTTCCTGCCGCCTCAGATTGTCATTATGACGAATAATCATCGCCAGTTGATGCGTCAAATCATCCTGAACTCAGAAAATACATGAAGCCAGTTATCAACTTATCACCAACAATGATAAATACTAGACTTTCCTTTTAGCTACTAAAATTATCAGCTTGCCACCTGTTCTCTGGAGAGAAAGGAAGAAACACAGCATGAAAGAAGTTTACCTCACTCCTGGATGAGGTGTCCATCATTACAGAGGGTCTCACAGGTTGTGGAGGAATGGGCAGAACTTGTAGAATCATCCAATCTGGCCGAGCATACTTTGGGTTCAACCCCAATATTTGGGAGTCTTCATCACTTATTCTCTTTAAAACACTAAGAACCTAAAACAAATTTAACAATGTTTTAGTATCACTATCATGAGAAGTTGGTCTGATTGAAGGAAAATCTGTCTAAATAAAGTACACCAACCCTTTCCGCAGTAAGGGTCTGTTTCCTTTCCACAGGTTCAGGAAGCTGTTCCTGGTCATCATTTTTCTTCCTTTGGGCTTTGTACTCTGCATTCATTTTCATACCCTCAATAGACAGCTTGGGCTGCTGAGCACCACAGCCACCCCGACTTTTCTTTACAGGCTCTTCAGTATCTTGGCCCTGGACATCAATTTCATCACCACCTTCACATTTGGATTTGTTTTTGCAGGCATCCAAAATCTTTTTCAGCCTGTTTTTCGGATTTTTTATTCTCATAGCTTGCTTAAACTTGTGGTCGTCCTGCAAAATGAAGTCACACAAAAGTTGTCGAGGTTAACAATTGTCTGCATACTTGAGTATAAGATCCTTTTTTAAAACAAAATTGACGCTTTTGGATTCCTGAGGCAACAGACTCATTTTATGCATTTCAAGCTACCCCAAAACATAACCCAATAAGTTTACAACGAGGTATACAACAAGCTAGGGACATCCAAATGACCTTTCAACCTATCTTACAAGACTAACAAGCTTATCAACTATAATGTCTGTCAACATTAAGAAAGCAGTAACTGAAACTCAATCATGTGGATTAGAAAACTATTCTACTCGGAAAGTTTAAGGGCAATAACTATAAGTACCTCATCGACTAGAATTTTCGAGCAATTGAAGCAAACGCATCGCATTACAGATAACACAGTCTTTATGAAACCGATGTGAAACATTGGTTTCGCAAGCTCTAGGTGCCCAAAATGGCCGGGGCACTCAGCCATGTTGGCTGTACAAGTCTCACATTTCAACTTCCGGTCAATTGTACCGAGCCGAGGATCACTCAAACCAGCGGTCTTCGGCTTGCCTCCCAACATAGTCTCACTGTGCTCAATCTCCACCACAGACATTTGCCTCTGCAACAAAACACAACAGACTGTCTCAGAACACTCCAATTCACCATAATACAGCACTCATCGAACCCTAGCATCATCCAATCACTACCAAATCGAACAAACTCAGTAAACAGCTTTCGAACAAAGAGGGAGTGGAAAGTTACGATTTCGTCAGGGCTGAGAATTCCGAACTGCACGCATTTCACCTTCGCCACCTCCGCTGGCGAGAAGGGAAACCGGATATCCATGGCGACGACGACGACAAACCCTAGGGTTTTTTTCTGAGTCAAATTCTCACTGTCACTGGTACTTACTCAGCTCGCGGTGTTTGTCGATCAATTAGTTTTCTGGTTTCTTTTTTTTATCCGATTTTTTTTGGGTTTAATTGTTTTTCTGATTGCTGCGAAAACGAGGGATCGATTGGCTCTCTACTTTGGAGGAGTAGTCCTCTTACTAAACGAAGTGAGAGCCTAGGCCATAAGGCTCCATTTATAGGCAAAGTGGATGGAGGCTAGTGGCTGCCTACTTGTCTTAAAGACGAAATTGCCCTCTCAGATTGACGGCTGCCTTCTCCGGGCGGGTTGTGGGTTGTGGGTTGTGGGTCGTGTGCTGTGGACTGTGGCAAAGCTAATTGAAAAGAGAGGAACTCGTATGACACGGTTAATGGTGACGTCTAGTGTTATTGGTATATAATATTTCGTGCTAAGAGTGTAAGAACATGTGAGGGCAAAATAATATATGTTATGTATTATTCGCACGTTATGTTATCATGATAATATACCAATGTCATACATGTTGTGTTAAAAGTGCATTCAAATAATCACAATGACTTTCATGTGTGATTGGAAAAGGTAATTAGAAATGTCTTTTGAGTGTGTGACATTATTCCAAAGTGATACTGAATATGTGTTCACTTAAGTGTTTTTACAGGAGGCATTAGTTTGTTTAGGAATGCTTATAAAAAGGACAAAAAAAAATTTTTGACAGTTAAAAGCGTTTATAAGTGTGTTTGGCAAAAAAACCTTAAAGTATTCTAATAATCATAGAAGCGCTTCTTATAAATCCACATACCAAATGCTTTTTTAAAAAGTACTTTCAGCCGTTTTCCATGAGACACTTAGAACTTTCAATAAATTTAAATGCATTTATTGTATCACGTTATGTTTTTACATGCAAAGTGCTTTCTTTGTGAGTAAAACCCCAAACGTGCCCTTGAAAGTTAAAAGGCACTTCGATTTGGAAAGAGGGACCAACCGCTTCCACCCAAGCAGCCACACCACTGAGAAGAAGACCCAACAAACCAACTGGATGAAACTGAAAAATGGGGTTGGAATACCACCAGCGCTATGAGCACTCCCAAAACCCTACCAAATGGTGCTAAAAGCACTTTAAGAGTCACCTAAACCCATAGCATGTCTCCCAATGAGATTCATGGAGGAAACACAGGATGAATCGAGCGGGCGAGGCTGGTGGACTGTGACTCGCGGCTAGGAACAACCATTGGAGTGGAAGAAAGCATAAAATCTGGATATGAGACAAAGCCCAAGGAACTTGAGACAGAGCCAAGCAAACATAGACTGAGCTCAAATAACAAAATCACCATATACAATGATCAAAAGCAAAGCAGAAAAATAAGGATAGTCAAAAGTTGCAGGAAAAGTAAATTTAAGGGTTGCCACCAACCCCAACCAAGGGAGGGGCCGGGAGCTAGGAACCAGAGTTAATAAAACGCATTTAGATATGTGGTGTTCCCACCATGATCTTCGGTATGGTGTTACTAAATTCATGAGACATATGGTGTTCCCACAATAGTATCCGGTATGGTGTTACTAAATTCATAAAATGTTGACTCTGCAGTCCACCTTATTAAGATAATAACACCAATAAAGGATGTCACCGTCACACAAATTTTTTTCGTTAGATGCCTTAGTTCCATGTACAATCTGCCAAATATTTCTTGTTGAAAGTTGCTGCAATCCCAAGTTCTCAACTCTTACCGGGAAATTTCAGGTTGCAACTACCAGTCAATTTTCCTTTGTATTATAAAGCCTGACAGGGAAATGCGCCTGGAAAACCAAATCCATCGGTCACATTTGAAAGTTAGGTTGGAGTAGTAGCTACCTTTAGAGGGTTGGTACTTGAAAGTCCATGTCCAAGACTTGCAATCATTTTATTTCTTCCACCACATTCCAATCTTAATCTGTACTGTTAGAACTTCGACAAAATAAATTGATCGATTCGATTTGTCGAAAAGATTGATGAAGATGAAGCAAATAGAGCAGGGGAGTTCACTGCTGCCGCCACCATCCACCACCTCCACTTCCAAGGTTCTGGGCTAATAAGGCTGTTACGGAGAGCGTGACAAAGCGAGAAATTGCGAGGTTCTGGTATCGGAAGCGTATTGAGGAAGAGGAGCATCTCCTCGCCGCTATCAAGGCTGCAGCACGTATTCGAGCCCGCAAGCTCTCGGTAAGATTCTATCTCAATCATCACGTGTCACGCACTATCGAGCTGAGACATGATCAGAAACAAGTACAAAAGAGCAGTCAGTAGCCATTTTTATTTGCTTACATTTTCCTAACTAGTTGAAGGTGTATGGTATACAGAAGGAAGATTACAGACGCTTCGAGGAGTCCTTAAACGACGATGACAAAGATGAGAACGACAGATCTTCTGCTACTAATGACAGTAACAACGAAATTCGTGTTGGAATCAAGGACTGGTGAGCTAATTGTCTCAATCAATCAAGAAGAAGTTATCAATTTTTTCTTGAACATATATATATATTTTTAACAAGTATCTGTGCAGGTGGACGAAAAGCAAGTACGCATACTTGAACCAACCCGCCGTGGCGTCCTCCGTGGATCCCCCGAAAAGGCGGACGTCCACATTTGTTCCGAATTGTTTCGCTTATAAGCCGGCGCCGCTCTACCCTACTTCTCTTGGTGTGTTTTAGACCGGCTGATCATCATCAGTTGATTTAGTTGACTGGACTGAATATTGTTCGTGAAGTTTTTGTGTTGCCAAATATATAGACGATTTAATTCCATTTGGAATAAGTAAAGGTTTTCAGCCTTTGCAAGCATTAGTTTCTGCACAGAATTAATCATCTGCATGTCATGTATATGTTTCTGTTTTCTGTTCAGAACGATGAAATGTTTGTATTTCTGAATATTTAATAAATTAATTGGAACAACGGAAAGTACTTTCGGTGTGGAGCTTTGATTGCAATATTTTATCCAATCTTAGTTAATTAGCGCATTTTTTTTTCCCCAAACGACAGGTATTAATGGATTCAATTATTAGTTATTAGTGCGAGAAAGGTCAGTGTGGATCGAAACCGTACTAGTAAAATGTGCTCATAATATAATTCATATAATCTAAACTACATATTAATAAAATTTTCTTTGTCAACTAAAGAGACTAAAACTATTTTGACTTCTATACAGCAAAAAATTTAAAGACAATAACGTAATTACATGAAACAAAATTTAGTTGTATGTCTCGCGACAAGTATGAGACCAGAGGTGACTGTTGTATGTACATGACAACCTAACCACCAAAAACCAATGAAATTTTATGACTGTATGTGTGTGCAATCAAATTTACATTCACAATCATGTTCCAATTATGGTCTACCTACGGTCGCATGCCTCACGATAGCTATGAGACCAGAGGTGTCTGTTGTGTATGTATAGCAACGTTACTGACCTTAACTTTTGTGGTCTGGTCTCTCTTCTTTGTCGTTCTAAATTTCTAACTGCTTTGTGTGCTGTTTGTTGTGGATTGCACAGTTTAGTCCTATGCCCACACATTATAGGCGTGCAATTAAATTTGTGTAATATTTGTTACAAAAATATTTATATCACTTTAAAAATAAAATAAAAAACATTGAAAAAAAAAAAAAAAATTTTTTTTTTGTCTTTTGAACAAACGATATTATTTGCACTAGAGGAAGAGGGATGTGTTTAGCCTTGCAATGGTTGAACAATAATGTAGTTCAAATTCGCCTTTGGCTAGAATCAACCTAAAACCTCCTATTTACAACTGAAGAACAATATCACTAGACCATAATACAATTTGGCGTGGAACTTAGAAGATGGGGTGTTTCGAAGTGGGAATGTGAGGCAAAAAAAAACCTTCTCAATATTTTTATTTTTTATTTTTAAATAGAGTTTGTTATGTTTTCCTAGCTGTGATGTTTGTGTTAAAAAAAAATGGTGTTGCATGTAATTACCAAATTGCTCATGTTTTTTTAGGGTAAAATACAAAAAATTACCTCAACTATTGGTGTCACAACACTTTCATACCTCATCTTTTAAAATTGACAGTGTCATACCTCATCTTACGAATTTGTGTCAATATTATACCTTCCATTAGTTAGGCGTGAATTTCTCAGTTAAATACTGATGTGGCTTGATCCGGGACCCATTTTTTTATTAAAAATTAAAAAAAAATCATTTAATATTTTTTAAATATTAAAATAATAAAGAAAAGTTGAAAAAAAAAAAAACAAACAAACAAAAAACCAACATTAGTTCGTCCCCTTCCCCCCCCCCCCTTTTCTCTCTCTTCTCCCCATCTTCATCATCTTCCCCCTTTCTACAACTGTAACCCAGAAAAAAGAAGAGAAAAAAAAATCAATTTGTCTTCCCCGCTCCCCACCCCCTCTTCTCCCCGCACCCACTACCTGCAACCCAAAAAAAAAAAAAAAAAAACCCAATAAAAAACCCAGATCCCGTTGAGGTGGAATTGGGAAACCTTCGCCAAGCCGATTCCGAAGGTTTAGAACCTGGGTGCGGGGAAAATGGGGAGGAATGGGTGTGGAGGGAAGAGGGTGGGTGCGGGGGGACGGACGAACTAGGTTTATTTTTTTTCCTTCTTCTTCTTCTTCCTCCTTCGAGTTGGGTTGGGGTTTTTTTTTTTTTTTTTTTTTTTTTTTTTGTTTTTCTTCTTCTTCTTCCTCCTCCTTCTTTCTGGGTTGTAAGGGGTTGGGTTTGTGGTGGGGGGAGGGGGGACGAATTGGGTTTGGTTTGGGTTTGGTTTGGGTTTTAATTTTTCCTTCTCTTCTTCTTCTTCTTCCTCCTTCTTCTTTCTGGGTTGCAGGAAGATGGGGAAGAGAGAGGGGGGAGGGATGAACGGACCTGAGGTTTTATTTTATTTTATTTTGATTTACTTTTCTTTATTATTTTAATATTTAAAAAATATTAAATGATTTTTTTTTTAGTTTTTAATAAATTTTTTAATAAAAAATGAGTTCCGGATTAAGCCACGTCAGCATTTAACTAAGAAATAAACGGCCAAGCTAACAGAAGGTATAACATTGCCACAAATTCTAAAGATGAGGTATGACATTGTCAATTTTAAAAGATAAGGTATGAAAGTGTTGTGACACCAATAGTTGAGGTAGTTTTTTGTACTTGACCCTTTTTTTTATTTTGTTTGGTTTTGATGAGAGGGTTAGAGTAGTAGTTTTCTGGAGTTTTAGTTGACAAATAGGATTCTATTAAT